TTTTTATTTCATTTGTTACATAAAAGTGCCTACTACAGCTAAGCACTGTGCTAGACCCTAGGATACAGTCACAGGGCGCAGAGACGTAGTTGCTGTCCCAGTGGGCTTCCAGGCTAGTGGATCATTCCAATGAATGTGAAATCCCTGCTGCAGTTAACACTGAAGGACGGCCACAGTGAGAGTCTGCCACAGAGGAATCTGACCTGGCCAGTGAACTCACAGAAAGCTTTTCTAAAGACACTGGTGCTTGAATGGGCAAAGAGAAGGAAGAGCATCAGCGGTACAAGAACAACATGTGGGGCTGGGGGAGTACAGTTGAGGAGGTCAGTGGAAAGCAGTGTGGATGAAGCTCGGAGAACTAAGGGGGAGTGTGGTGATGAGGCATGTGTCAGATACTCTACAAACAGTATTAGCTATCATAGGTTCATATTCATTCACTCAACAATTGTTTATCATGCCAGACAATGGGGAGATAGCCGGCAACAAGGCAGACACCATGTCAACAAGTGGTGAACCCCGTCAAGTAAAGATTCTATGCTTTGTTGGGAAAGACACAGGGCACTGGGCAGAGGATTTGGAGGACAAAAGTCACACCCAACCCAGTCTTGGCAGGGAGGAATTGGTTTTCCTTTTGGCAAGATCACTTGCTAACAGCATGAAGATGGGGTTGGTGCCAATGGCAAAAGAAGGTTTAGTTCCTGTCCTTAAAGGGAATATATTTTTAATGAGAAGGCATGCATAGGAAAACAATGAGAAGAAAAATACATAGACATACCAGACAACTGTCATATTGGCATTTTTTGCAAAAAGTCTCAGCTTCCAAACATTCCCACGGAGAAGAGGCAGTATCTGTCTCTCTCAAGGCAGGGAGCCTCCCAGGACCCCTACTGCTTCCTAAGTGTTTCTAAGGCTCAAAGCCCTCTCACCCAGAAGAGAACACAAGGCCTACCCAGCAGAGATCTGCAGATTCTGTAGCTGGAGCAGAGACTGCTGGGGCTACCCAGCTCCTCGCAGGACTTCCCCCTCTGCTAGGCTCAGCTATAAATAGCGTGTTGGTTTCCAGCTGGGGATCTCCCAGCCCTGCAACGCGCAGGCACCGCCTTCTCACCCTGCGCTGCCCTCAGCCTGGAGCAGAGGGGGTGGTAGCTGGCTGGAGGGTGGGAACTAGTTCCAGAGAGAAGCTGGCTATGTACTACATTACCCACAATGCTAGATGGTAGCTGGGAAGAGGAGGCTGCTGGGGGCCTGCAGCCTTAGGTGGGAAAACAAGGCCAGAGGCATCCTTAGCCCTGGGTTTGCAGCCCAGGCCTGGAGACCCAGCTTTTTTTTTTTCAAAATCTAACCCCTAATCCTTCAGTTCTGGACTTTACAGATCATCTCCTCTCCATGCAGCCAACTCACAGGCCCTCAGCTGACCTGGGGCCCAAGAGACCAACAAGTTCCTCATCTTTTGGCCATACCCCACTGTGTGTGTGTGTGTGTGTGTGTGTGTGTAAGCCCAGCCAAATACTGGGAGCCTGTGAGTGATTTTATTCTGGATCAAGCCCAACAGCTGCTTGGCACTAGAAACTCCTCCCTGGCATATTCCCTGACTCTGTCCCAAACTCTGAGCTTTTCTTTCCCTGCCTCACCCACGGCACAACCATCAAGGGCTCACAAGATAGTCCAACAGAACGGCTGTACTCTGGTGACATGTTGCACTTCTGGAAGAGCTGGGGGCTGGGGGTTCAGGAACCCTGCTTAGGTCTGGTCCCTCTCTCTGACCTTTGCTCATCTCCTGGCAGATAGATCAGGGTAGTCACGTGTGGCTGGGCCAGGTTGAAGTCTCTGGAAGCGCTCTAGGGAGGGCCTGTAGAGGCTTGCTGGTTCATGCAGTGGATAAACCAGAGTTGTCAGATTGAAGTAAGGGAGGCTATTCTGGGTGGTGGGGGCACCTGGGTTGCCCTGCATCCAGACCTCAGCCCCACTGTCAGCTCCGGCTCCCCACACCCTACCCCTCCCAACTTTCCCTACAGAGTCAAACTATTCATGCAGAGGCTCATGACTGCCAGACCACAGGGAGCCTAGCAGAAGATACCAGGGGCCCCTGTGCAGGGTGAAGGCCCTGTGGCTGCCCCGAACACAGGTCCTTTCCCTTTTCCCCTTGCTCAGATACAGTAACAGCTCTCACTGAGCTGGCCACCAGGAACCCAGAGAGAGTAAGACCAAGTCGCAGTCTCAATAAATAAACGATGTATATATAATGCTGTGTAAGTGCAGAACAGGCCTGTGGAGTGGGGGTGGGAGGATTTCCAGATGGACGGGCGTCTGAACCAAGTAGAGGACGAAGCTGGCCTCCCAGAATGTGGGAAGGGCATTCCGGACCGAGGGGACGGCTTCGGTAAAGGAAGGAGGGAAGAAGGGAGAAACGCCGAAGACCAACTGGCAAAAGGCAAAGGCAGGAGCAGCAAGGCGCGGGGCGGGGGCCTGGGCTGGAGCTGCGGAAGGATCTCCAGCAACGTGTGCTGCGTCCCGGGCTGGGGAGAGGCGGACAGAACGTGGGGGGCCGGGGGTGGGGGTGAGAACCTCAGAGCCTCTGGGGT